GAGATGTTTCAATAGAAAACAGGAGCGAACAAATTACCGAACATGTTTGTCGATGGTTGCCTATTCATTTCTAAAACCATATTTTTTTGCAAGGCATACATTTCGCATATGGTTGCATAGTTGGAAGATCTATATATGGTCATTGATTTATCTTCATCATTGAAACACCCAAGACACAGGCATGCAGGAACGGGAAAACCCTGCACACATCTTCTACCTTCACCTCATTCTTCACCAGTTGGAGGTGGCCAAGAACTACTTCAAATTCTTAATCCCAGACGCTCCATGGGACTGCCATATATGCCGCCCCATTGGCCCCCCTGGCACCACTCCAACTGATCGGCATATATGGCAGTCCCATTAGTCGTGTCTGGGAATTCATATCTGATTAAGGACGATATACTGTACAGTCCTCGAGGAAAACACCACCCCTCCAAAAAGCCGTCCGCGGGGTGACCGCGGTGACCGCAGGCGATCCAGAGCATTTTGAGACGTGAGGGCTATCCCAAGCCCTACGAGGCCCTCCGGGACTTAACGAGGCGCGGAGAGGGGAGTGGAACGGGAGAAGGGAGAAAAAGGAACGTTCAGCACGGCTGGGGGGAGCCATAGATGGGCATAATTAGGGTCAATCCAATGGTGTCGCAAGAAGAACTTGATTGTTTTGTGAATCACATCCCTACTGCCTTACATCATCTTACATGTTTCGCAGTTACACTCCCTGAAATTGTCATGGAATCATGGAAGTTTCTCACATGGCCGGATGAGCATGTTCGACAAACAGGTGATTGGCCCAACATACCTATGCCCTGTTTGGCAGGGAGGCTTCTTGAGTCCGCCACAAAAACTCCTGTGCCATCGCACTCGAGCTGTGTTATGGGGGCGGAACAGGTCCGACTGAGCTCGCGTTCCCGCCTTCGTGCTTCGCACCAGTCGCCAGTGCCGCAGTGTGGATCCGTGCAGCACCGAGCCTCGGAGCAGGGGCCGTGCGGCACCGACGTCGTTTTGCTGCACGGGGAGCACGGCACGTGGAGCGGGGAAGCTCTTCGGACCTCGGCTGAGCGTCGTTCGGCGCCGGCGCCGGCGGCCAGGACCAACGAAGCCATGACCAAGGAGCTGCTTGGCGGTCTGAAGCGGAAGGGGTCTGTTGCTTTGGCTCCACTGAATATCTCAAACCATGGGTCACTTGAGTCGTTTGTGTGAGAGAGAGAGAGACCAACAGAGGTTGAAGGACCCTGTCTAGACAAAGCCAATAAGATATACCCAGGTGCCAGGTCGTGGTGAGGTCTGCGTCGTGTTTCTGCAAGGCACAGGTCTTCCAACAGAGCCTGTAGAAGTTCAGTCATTCAACCTCTACCAGCCAACTGCCAGGGTCACCAATGGTACCATGTTCGACCTGAAGTAGGGCCCATCAACCGTATACCCAGGTTCCTAGCATCCCAGTTCCCCCAGTTCGACGTCCCGCCTGGGTGCCCGGTCGCACGTTGGTCATGCCATGTCCACACGAGCGGACGAGCGGGCAGTCTGCCGTCTGACATGACCGAGTCATGACATGACCGAGGGTGGTTTTTCAAAGGGGTGAATGGAGGCAGGGATTGCGGTTGCCAGTCCCATGGAGTGTTCGGGTCGTGTTTCAGTGTTTGTTTCATTGTGTATGGTGAAATGAACAGATTCCATCATGAAGGAGAAGAACACGCACACTAAGACGACTGGGGGTGATGACAATGATCTCTTGTCTGGTTTGGTGTCTTAAGCCAGGTTCACTAAGTGTATAGGTGCTGCTAATGTCGAAGATGATCTCTTGGATTCATTTGGATTGTCCTCCCACTTCCCTGGTCCGGTGCTCTCTCCAGGTGCGTTCAACCGCACAACTTAAGGCGCATTCATAGCTTCGTGGACACCTTGAAGGTGGATGACAAGATCAAAGCCGAGCTGAAGAAAGTCACACCTTACAACTATGTGGGCTACAGCTGAGGCTTCCACCCCCCGAACCTTGCCGTTTTGGCACTTGTCAGCCAACACCTACACACAAAACCGAGGGTAAAGCCGTAGAGCTAAGCAGCAAATGGCACTCCAAACAAGTCTTGACACTTTTATTCAGAAGATGCTTGACTGCAGACAAGCTACATGACTAGACAAGATATGATAAGTATAGATAAGTGATCAACCATTTTCAGACAACTGGCCTTGTTCGGTCGACACCACATATATCTCACAATCAGAGGATTATGAACACATCCTGTGCTGCTTTTCAGAATTGTCCAACTGGATCGCCATAGATGTCCGGCGCCATGTGGTCATCCAAATACACATGAACACTTGAAATCCAAGCCAGCCAACTTCCAAGCCGATCAGCCTGTAGCTTGCGTAGCTATGCGTAGCTCGGGTTGTGGGCTTTCCACTCTTGGCACCGGCGAGTTGTGTTTTTGGGCGGTGCGCGTTTGGCTATGTTTGGGTCTTGCCAGGCAGCATAAGAACCTGACAATGTAAGGAGCTGGTTGAATTCGGTTGAATGGGACGAACCACTATGATGAAACCCTAATAGATCCTTGGACCCTCCTTAGAAGGGGTTGAACCCTCTATAACAAGGGTTTGTACCCTCCAAACCCTCGTTGTTGAGGGTGCGGATCCTTAGGGTATATATACATTATATAGTTTTCTTTTAGGCACATGTCAAGTGTGACTGCTGTGCCGGTCTTGTGTAGAATAGACATACAGCGACATCACGTCTCCCACCTTTGGGCTGTTGTCGAAAAGTCCACAGAAAATGCCTTGCTTTGATCCCAATGGTGTAGCTGTGTAGTCAACAAGGTGGCTCAACTTTTCCTTATACATGTTTCTTTGGGGTAGTATCACAAACTTGGACACCGCAATTTTATGGCTTGGGGTGAGCCACTGTGAGAAGCACGGATGGCATATGAGGCACTATGGCATGATTAATGAGTTGTTTTTTCTTGTTCGGAGCCTTGACAGTTTGAGTTGTTCCCCTTTTTAAAGCAATCCAAAAAGCTGAGAATTGTGGTCACAATCAGGGTAGAAACATATCTGACATTATCTGAGTGTGTCCATGGAAGTTTCTCTTGGTTTACCCAGTTTACCCTGGCATGGGAAGCAGACTGCGGCAGACAACGCCTTTGGGGCCGTATGCCAGACTGCCAGACGACCCATACATAGCCATGCTGCTTATCTCGTGCGGCTCCACCTGATGAGATCACGATGAATTCAATGGACGTCATGCTGCAGAAATAATGATGAACATCCTGCAACACCTAGTGCAGCACTCTATAGAGACTACCAGCACTCGACTTCACAGGTCATCACCTGCAACTTTAAAGTTTGCAAAAACCACCATTTCGGAGACCTGTAGAGTCGGGTGCTGGTAGAGGAATGGAGGATCTCTTTGGTCTTTTTTGGGTTTTGTTTGGATCTTTCTTTCTTCAGCTGTTTCAACGGCACTTTTCTATAGGTCATACCAATCATTGATCAGTTGAGATTCTGGAACGTCTAGAACCAGAGATCTTCGCACCACAGATCTTCGCGCAACAGTCCCTTCAGGTCCGGTCTGACCTAGTAGAGCCTGGTCCTGCATAGCCCGCATGGAGTCGTGTTTTTGTATGTCATCTCCAGACACAAATGTGGTCAGGAACTCCTGACCTGGTTAAGGAGTTTCATGTGTCAGGGTCCACCCTGAGCAAGGAGCACCCTAGGGTAGCCTTCAAAGAGCATTTAAAGCAATGGTTGACCTGGTTTTGTAGTCTAAAATCCTTAGTCAAACAAGGGTTCTATATAGATGTAGAACAAGATGTAGGACACAAACCACTGGCTTAGTGTAAGTCTAGGTGTGCCCCGAAAAAAGAACAATTGGTTTTTGGAGGCCTTTTTCTGATGTTGTAGACAATGCAAAGATCATGCCCGATGCTGGTGATGAGTGGTTCACCATCGGTGGAGTCTTGCGGTGGCTGCAATTCTGGTCCTATCCACGCGGCTTTTGGGAGAGTTCACGTTCATTGCCAGTGTCACCCAGGATCTTTTGACCAGTTTTAGTGGAACGAAGGATCCAGTTGTTTGCAAACACCGCGCACGTTTTTGGGGAGCTTTGTGACTGGTTGCACGTGAGCTACGCTTGCATGCAAGATGCTTTTGAAGCTTAGACGAGATCATCAAAGCACCTGTCAAACATACAGCATGCTGATGTAAGTCATGAGAAGAGCAGCACTTGCTCAATTGAGCCGTTTTTTTCTATCTATGGATGTTGTTTATTAATTATTGTTTTTTTCTTTTAACGAAGGCAGACGATCGTGTTTCTAGGTTAAAACGGTCAAACGGTTCAACCGTTTAGCTAGCCTCATGGTTGTTGGGTGCACACCGGACTTCGCCCCGATGGTGGTTTTTTCTTTCCATGAGACCGGTCAGTGCAAAGCTCCAGCCAACCGTCAAGTCTTTTGGACCTCTCTCTCCGACCGGAGGTCGGGGGCTCGTCTCTCAGCCGTTCACTTCGCCGGTCTCCGAGCAGCGGTCGGTGGCGGTCGGTGGCGTGAAAAGCATGGCGGGACGAAGGGGCCGGGGAGGCTCGGTGCCTTAACCAGGCGACGGAACGGTGGCGAAGCGGTACAGTATATAGAGCTGGCAGACGAGCTGGGGGGTGGTGGAGACGAAGGGCTGCGTGTCTCTTTTGTTGACTCAAACTCTTTGAAGTTTGAAGGCATTGGTCGTTCTAATGACTGTGATCGGTTTCAGCCGATTCAGATGTTCTCGGTCTCAATAGATGTTGGTGCCCACAACACTTGCCGGTCCTGCATTGACCTCTTTTCAATAACCACCCTTATTGATCTTTATTTATTGTATGTAAATTTACTGCCATCCAAAACAATTACAGTCTTTGCTGAATTGGCTACTGTCGTGCAAAGTGCCCGTCGCCCAACGTCTAACACAGCCGCGCTCCGTCCGTCGCTCATCGGTGCGCCTCGGCGTGCACCTGACGTCGCCTCCACGCCGCGGCGCAGGCGCCCCTGAACTTGCAGAGCGCCTCGGTGCACTTTGCCCTCCGCGAATCCGACGCCGCCACGAGGCGGCCGCGTCGTGCTGGGTTGCGGCGCGGGAGTGCGCTGCTGGGACGGGATGGGGTCGCCAAGCTGGGCCAAGATGGTGAAACACATTGAAACACAGAGGTTCCACGCAGCCAGAGGTTTCACTTATGTGGCGTCAAACAGTCTATAATCAAAAAAATAGATAGAGGGGTCGAAAGTAGCTTATGATTCATGATGCTGTTTGTTCAATTAGCTTATGTCGCGGGACCCCAGCTAAACACACCTAGGGCGCTAGGTTTGCGGTAGACTTGCGCTAGTGTTTGACTTAGGACATGTTCAGAAGGTCGTCAGGTTTTGAAAAGTAACTGCTAAAAAATGCGCTAGCCGCGCGCTAGCACTGCGCTAGATCCGTGCTGGCGAACATTGCCAGATGCCAGCATGGACCCTTCCAAAGCTGACTTCCAACAAGTCTTTTGTTACAAGCATGGCTTGAAACTCGGAGATCAGCAGAAAACGGTGCAGCGCTAGTGACGCCTCCTACAATTTGGTGCCAATACTTGCTTGGTCCATGGTTCCCTCATTAACCAGCTAGCTGTGTGTGCCAAAAGTAAAGAATATGCAGCGGGCCCCCATGCGACTTTCAGCCCTCTTTGGAAGAAAGCACTTCGACCAGATCCCATGTTTGTTTAAAGACTTGATTTTATTGGAGCAGGCTACGGAGGGGAACATGTGGGGAACCCAATCATTTTTACAAGACCTCAAAGTGATCAGATGAATGTCCCTAGTCCGTTGGTGAGTTTCTTTGTGGCAGGTTCATGAGTTTCGGGTTTTGCGCCAGTCTCCTTTGCACGCTGACTCTTCTTTTACCATGCTTTGTTCCAGCTTTCTTGACTCCCATGTGTTGCAAAACATGGTAGATCTTGGAATGGTAGGTGTTGGATCTATTGACCGATGTGCCACTCAAAACCCTTGCGGAAAATAAATCGCACTAGTGATAGCGCTTTGTTGTAGGGATAACTTTCCGTAGGTTGCATCCTTCATTTGAATACCCCTTCATTGGTCATGTCGAAGGCTGAGGTGCACAAGACGTCTAAGAACCTGAGACCTGATTTTGACGCCACCTCAACCAGTTTTCCAGATCTTGCTTGGTACATGGAACACATTGACATGTTTGCAAGTCTTGCGACTGTTTGCAAGACTTACTGACAAGACAGTTCATCCTCAAGTCACTATGCCATAGCAAACAGTGACTCAGAGTAATACTCTGAGTGTAACATATATCATATTTGACATCAGACATGTTCTTTGAGATGACTCATTTGGTCACCACCACCGCAAACCAGAAGGTGAATTCAACTGAATTCCCCTTGGCTATAGAAATACAAAATATATTTGACGTGGTTTCTATCTATTTCCCTGACACTTCATGTGTGTTTACAAGTCCCGATCGTCTTCGTGGAACAGCTGTTTTTCACCACTCAAGTGAAGCAGCTGCGTTGTTGCCGCGTTTGCGTGGCAGCGGCGGCGCCAGGTCCAAAAAGGCCTTTGCCGCCACCAAGGAGGGGCGACTGGAGACACCGATGTGAAGCCCGTCGAGTGTGGGAAACTGTTTTTATTTTGTCAAGACAAAGGGACTCAAGAATAGAAAAGTCCTCATCAGGCAGTTCGTTCTACCAGACCTCAGTCAGAGTTGGAATTTGGACGCAAGGTTTGTGAGTGCTCTGGAGAGAAGCTTCAACTGAACATGGTTCACAATGGTTCGACTCTCCATATGGAGCCTCCAGGTTCGGCCGGTGCGGTTTCGTAGGTCCGGTCCGGTGCGGTGACCTTCGGTCACCACCGGTCAGGCCTCAGGCAAGGACACGGTGGTTCACCAGCGCAAGGTTCACACCGGAGCGCAATGGAGCGAATCGAGTGTTTTTGATGTTTGGGCCGCCAAGTTCGTGGGCATTCAGATCACTGGGTGAGTGGAGGAAAAGGAACTGACCGAAAGGAGGATGAAGAGGAAGAGAACGTCATTTTCTGGTGGTGAGCGGACAAAATGACTTAAGAAGAAGAAGAAAACGAATAAAGTCCTGGAGCCAACTTCGATCAAGAAGGAACGGAAAAGCTGTGATTTTTGGGAGCCGGCTTCGGCCTGGACAAAAGTGCATTTTGGCCGGGTCGGTCTTTGCGGTCCGCCTTACAGTCTCAAGCCGTATACTGCCGCCTTTGTGGCCTTGGCCGACTGGCTGCCAGCAACTGGCCGTAGCCTGGCACCTGGCTGGGAAGGCCGGCTTCTAAGAAGCCATGGCAAGCTCTTGTCAACTGGTTGCTGCCATCTGAACACATGCTTCCCAAATTGCTAAGTCCAGACACATCAACCAGTTTTTGGGATTCTTTTGGTTGGTCGGCCACAGAAAGACATCAGTTGGTTCACTGATTTTGATGGAGTGTGTAGTCCCAATTTGCGGATCAACCAAAAGAACAAGAAAACTGAGAGAAGTGGTGAACCCGACGCGGGAGAATAGCAAGATCCTTGTGGAGTGGTAAAGAAAGACCCCCACCCAGTAGATCCTTTTTTGGAACACCATCCTGCTTGAACACCTTATATAACCTACCTTTCTTGACCACCCTGCTGGGCTGGGCCAAATTGGCTTAGGTCTTAGGTAGGGCTGGGTGAGGTATGGTAAGGTAGGGTAGTTATGATGTATAGTATAGTAGGATGTAGTAGGATGTATAGGGTGCTATACCTAAACCATCCGGTGATGTGGAATTTCTGGCGTTTGCTGAAACTCAACAAAAAAATGTCGCCGCAACATATTTTTGTCGTCTCAAAAAAAAACTGTCGTTTCAGAATCCTGTCCCCCCCCCAAGTGGTTTTCTGCACCTGCCTGGCTGTCATAGATCCGGAAACAATCAGCAGCGCGAGAAACAAACGGATTATGCATGGTACCTGTTTCAACTACAAGACTGATTAACTTTAGAACTTTAGTATTTGGGTAACATACTCTCATTGAAACCTATCTTCGCGCAGCTGCTTTGCTGCCGGGTTTGGGTTTTGGCCGCTTTGCGGCTTTGCCCTTAGTGATATCGGGTCCATATTTCAACCACCGGCGGTGCAACAGATCACCTTTCAAAAAGATTGATTGAATGACACGTACACACAGTGTTCTTGTGTCACATCGACGAGATAAGCGACAGGCTCTGCCTATCCAGTCCTCGTTTTGCTCACATCCAAAAACAATCGGGTTTATGGTAAATGGCACGCTGCCATTTTCCAAGAACTTTAGCTGCTCAAGCTCTGTGTGCTTTAGCAAGTGCAGTTTGGGTTTGAGAGCCCACCCTGGGAACTTCAGGGTGCCAAAAGCTTCATGGGCTAGAGTGCTATAGCCACGGATGAACGCAGCTACATCCGCCCATAGGGCCATCCCACAGCGGGGACTAAGCCAAATTCCATGATCATACATCCGACAAAAAAAATCACACGCAGCTTTCCCAGTAAGGTGAATTAGATCTAGCACTCCAACATGGTCTTGACTGATCAAACTGTTTTTGCAGCCGATCGTCAATACAATCACCCACTTGCAGAGCAACATCGTGTCGCTGCCCTTTGAAGATGTCCAACCAAAAGAGGACAGATTTGGATAGTTGAAAAAACGTTTGTTGAAGCTGCGGACTGCTTGGTTGTGTTGTGTTGCTTTGCACCACAAATCAAAATGGTTGTAGGCCCTCTCAAGTTTCTCATCAACATCACCAGTTGTGCCAAAGTAACCCCAAGCAAGAAGCAATAGGATCGAGGAAGCGCAGTAGTCTCGGTAAATACCTACCTTACACAGGTGAAACACATCCCGCTTCAATTGGCGCTCTGGGGCTGCCATGTCGTGCGGTATTGAAGCCAGTGGGGGTGCTGAAGCCCAAGGACGGGTTTGATGACAGGTATCCTGCCAACACGGATCGTCCGTCCCAACATCCTCCCAGCTCAGCTGGTCTGATCCAGCCTCGCATTCATGGCACATCAATAGATTCTGGACACGTCCAAGGTGCTCAAAAGAGCGGGTCATGTCTGCAGCCCGGGCAAACCATTTCAGGTCTCCCTTGCCTCCGATACATGCAAAGAACACTGTCCCCTGACCGGAGACTTCCACTCCTTCAAAGAAACCTTGCCGGAAATCCTGGCTAACTATCTTCATGCATTCCTGAAGAAGTGGTCTGTAGGTCTTGTACATTGTCCCTGGCAAAATATAAATAGGCCAATGTTGTAGCATGCTATGCCCCTTCATGTTCGTAGCTTGCAGAGCCACGAAGCTCTCTAAGCGAGCAGTTGGCTCTGAGGATGAGCGTGCTGGAAACTTGGATTCAACTCCCTGAGAAACGTGGCAATTGGAGCAGTACTTGTGTCCTTGGTTCATGTTCCAGCTGGTGTAGATCCCTATGCAACTTTCAAAGCTGATGCAAAGTGTGTTTCCTCTCCTCTTCCCCCTTCCCTCATCACCATGGTAGCAGACAGGGATCACTGCGTGTAGATGACCCCCATGTTCACTGTATACAGGGTGGTTGGGGTGAACAGATCTGTAAAGCTCCCAGAATGCTTGAAGGTGACGAGAACGCTCGGGTCGATCGAGAATTCCTCCAACCACCACAGATGGACAATTGTTCAACAAATAGTGCATTGTGTCCAATGGGCTTGCGTAATCAATGTCCAAAATTTCATCACCCTGCCCTGTAGCAAAGTGCATCGTTCTAAGTGGAACTTTCCATCCATAACCGCATCTATTGAATGCTCGCCAAGCAAAGCGGGAGGCATTCGACTTTGATGGCTCTGGCACTCCAGCAGCAGCGAAGGACACTGACTGGATCACTTTTGCTGGGACCTCAGCGCAGCTATGCCGAGCCAGACGGTGCAGGTACACTAGAGTTTCAAGGTAGAGTTCTACATCACTAGCTAGCGAAACATTGGGGCCGGGCCCCATCAGCCACTGCTTCCGCATAGTGGGGCGTCACCACTTTCTCAGAGGATTGGGCTTTTTCTGGAGGCCCTGGCGTTCGGGTGGGATCAATCTACAAAAATAGAAATCTATTGAGCAAAGGGTGCAGATTGTCAGCACGTTGGTTAATTTTTTCCCCATCCATCCAATGTAGCAGGATAACTTGCTCTGAAGAAAGCAAGCGCTATGAATTTCAGCATCTTGTTCAGATGCGAAACCAAAACCCGAGCCACCAAAGCATCAATCAACTGAGTCCAGAGTGGCACAAAAAACACGTAAAAGGATTTATCTATAGTTCGATGACCTTCAGGACCTCAAGTGTTGGAAGCACAACTATTGTAAGTAAAGGGCTTGCCTGGGCTAGTCGATGCCAGCTTCGCTGACCGCTATCAACCCCCCTTTGCAAGTTCTGCAAGTGGGCAACAGCAAATGAAACTTATTTCTTGGCTTTAGATTTAGGTGCCCTTTTGGGACTAGCTTTTGCCGCTCCTTTGGGCGCGGGCGCACCTTTAGCCTTCGCCTTCCCAATCTTCCTACGCTGCCGCTCAGATGCGGTCCCGGACCCTTTCGCGGCTTTGACTTTGGGCAGGAGCGGCCTGCGAGCTGATGGTTGGAAGGGCAACGAAGGTTGAACGCCACAGTAAACACAATGACTTAGAAAATGGTGCTTTCTGAATTAAAATTCAACTGCCGGCCTGACGCGACCTTCCAGACTGAGTGCTTCGAGGGCCCTTAGAACAAATCAGTGGACCCCGAACTTAGGGACCAGGAATGTTGCAAGAATGCACAGCCTAAGTTGTGGTCAGTCTTTTGGCTTCCTGAAGGGCTTCGCTCATTTCATTCTCTGACCTGGGTCTCATCAGTTCAGAAGCCACCGTATTTCTAGGCATCTAACACGTTTCAATGAGCACTAGGGGTCCAACTTTTTGCTGAAACCATCAACAATACCATTAGTGTACTGGCCATCGATTTTGGCGCTGCATGTTTGCAACTGAGAGATGTTGCCCTGTAGCTTTGCGATCAACCTGTTGGGAAACAACTTGGGTGAAGCGCAGTGAGCAAACAACTCAAAGCCAACACTTCAGGCATTCCAGTGGAAGAGAAACCGTGTGGCCTGGTTTCCAGATCCGATGGAGATTCCAAAGCCAAGAACTTACCCAAGCTATCCTGGAGGCCCTTCTCACGCTTGCTGAGACAAGCCCTTGGACCAAGACGGGTTGGTTGGTCGACTGCAAACATGCGAACATGAGTGAGCTAATACAGAAACAGAAGGAACTGGTTGTCTAATTTGGCATAATTTGGCTAAGTCTCATGGTTTTCATAGCGAAAGAAGATGGCAAACAATCAGGTGACATCTCAGGCAGCCCTGCCCTTTTCCGTTCTTTGGAGGCAAGGGCTTCGCCGTCTAGTTCATTGGCCGGATCTAGCTCATCCGGAAAGTCATCCAAGTCTAACTCATCCGCAGAAGCTGGTTCATCATGTCCATCACATGGGTTTGGGGGGCGAGCCACTCTAGGCCTGCTAGGTCCAGGTTCACCTCGGAGGGGCTAAACCGCGACACCAAATCATGTTGACTGGAAACCCCCGCCAAA